GGGAATATGATGGGAATGCTTTTAACAGAGCTAAGTCTCTTCTACACATTGTTATAAAATGAAGGAAGTCAGAAAATACCTACTTAGTATATGCATCATTGTGCTAATCCTTGCTTGTTTCCCACATGATGGTCTCTTGTGATGTTTCAATTTGAAAAAAATGCAAAGCAGGAAGATTTTTCTTCTGAAATTTTAGAATATAATTTGTATAATCTCAAGTCTTCCACTGAACATATTTTGTGGGCTGAACTGCATTTCCCTCCCTTCCTGTTTGGCTCCAATTTCTTTGCTTTAAAGTTCCCTGTTTCCCCCAACAGCAGTATGAGCCATGGCCATACACAAGGGTTGGACTTTTCTGTCTTCTCCTTGTCTGCATCAGTACTGACAGGCACATGCCTATAAAAAAAAGGCACCTTGTGTTTCTTAAGCTATGCCAAATCCTGAGGCAGTTCTTAGTGACTTTCTTAGGGCACAGGAAAGCAAAGGGAAAAGTTTAACTCAGTGAAGTGACCACTCCTGTTTCTGAGTCTCACAGCCGGCGTTGGTGCTTTGTTTGTCTTCCACAATAATAGGCAGAGGTTTGGATTTATTTGATATTTTTCTCTACCACATAATGAAACCCTTAAATTGATAACAAGGAGAAACCAGCAGAAATTGAACTGAAAGAAAGAGATAGATATGTAAGGCTAAAATATATTCTTAATTTTATGTCTGCTTTGGACTTTGGTCAGACTTTGGCTTGAGCAGAAGAAATGCCCAGAAAGATTGGACAAGGAAAGACACCTGGGACAGACACCATGTGGTCTCCTGGTCATCTCTTGAGGCATGTGCCCCTCTATGCAAGCTGGGATCCATATAATTGTATTTAATAAGTGTCATTTTTTGTTTCTAAAACACAGAACACAATGAGTCCTGCTAGGGATCTGTAGCCCATGATCAGAGAGAAAATTCTTTATTATTATTAATAAAGCATTACTTTTTTGAAGCATTACTTCAGTATCAGCTGAATATACACAGATTGTTAAAAAAAATCATATTCTAAAAGTAAATTAATTTCAAGTGGATATCCCTTCAAAATCCCTTTGCTACCCTTTAGAATTTGGTTATCCTTCTAAGGATAAAAGGATAACAATGACTCGTGCCTGTCTAACATCCAAAAGAGAAATTAGTACATATGGAGTTATTGACTTCATTTCACTGATAAAACCTGCTTTTGTGAGAAGCAGTTGTCTCAGCCCCTTGCTAATGATTGGTCTGTCATGTCCTGCTGACAATTCCAATGCTGTCCCTGGGGCCAGTGTGCAGCTGTGCAACCCTGGGCCCTGGGACTCTTGAAGGCCTCACCAGATCTTTGGTTTTGGCACAAGAAATTAATCTATTATTTCTATACAACTTCCAGGGAAATTATGGTAATTCAAACTCTCTTTGGTCCCTAAGTGTAGACTAAAATTTATCATTTTAATATAGGTCAATTTGGAAGTTGCTGGAATCTTCAGATATAACATTTTTGGTGTCTGGTTTTTAAAGGTTCACAGCAGTAAGCTTTATTATTTATTCTTGGAAGATTTCATTGGCAAAAATCAGAGGGTGAGCTGAGATTTGAAGAAAAATCCAGAAGATGAGTGCAAACTTGAGAGACAAAGCCTGGGAATCCATGAGTGTGTTTTTGTGTCTCTTCACACATCTTACAGGAGTTAATAGAGAGGCACTGCCATTGTCACCCACTTAGCACAAGTGTTTTCCAAAGATAGGGGAAGACTCTGGTAGTCTCAAAAGTTTTTTTCAAGCTAATGCCAACTTCCTCCAAGTGTGATTTGGTGCATGAGACTGGCTGTAGAGTAGGGACAGTCACCTAGAAATGTCAGGTTACTGTAAACAAAAAGTTAAAGTTTATTTTCAATGTGTATTTATGCTGTACTTTAAAAAAAAATCCAAGCCCAACTTTATATTTTAATAATAGGCTTTTCATTCTCAATAATTCAAGCATTTAATGTCCTGACAAATTTTAGCTTCCTTTTTAATAGCATAAACTACATAACATGAATAGTATAAGGGAAAATATTTTTTGCACTCATGTATTCTGAGACACACTTTAAAATGTTTTCAAGTGCACTTTTCAGGGAAATATGAATTGCACAGAATATAAATTTCCCTGATTACAACTCAGAACTCATCTAAACCCTTAAAGGGAGGGGAAGGTACATAGAGAAAATGTTGCACTCTGTACTGAACCTTAAATCACACTAAATGTTTGCAAGTGTTTGTGTTCCTAGTGGCTTTCATTAATTTGAGGCCACATTTTTCATTCCAGCTTTTTCTTAGGATGGTCCTAATGCTAGATTGCACCATACTTAAAAGAAGGAAATTAATTTCTGACAAGCACCTCTGGATGAGGACTGAGAGCAAAGCAGTTTCCTGCCCACTTCAATGAGGGCTGGGAGGAAGGCATGGTATTTTCTGAGGGTGAGAAATTATTTCAGCAGAGACTTTCCTCATCACTCCTGCCTGGACTTCATGCTCTGAGGGGTTTCAGAGGTTTTCACAAGCTTTCTGAACCTGTGACATGTTCTCTGTTCATCATAGGAAACAGCCAGAAGCCACACAAGTGGTTTGCTCTTGTTGTTATTTTGGAGTTCATTTGTAGGATTTGTTGCTTGCACTACAAACAAGCTGTATTGTTTGAGCTGCCAGTGGAGGAAATGCAGAAAATCAAAGGTGCACACTTAGTTCCAAATGCGTTTTGCTACAGAGTGACCTTAAAAGTTGCACGTGCCCTTCTTCAGTGTTGACAACATACAATTAAAGAGTTGCATATGGAAATCTAACTGAAGATCTTTTCCTTTTGATATCTGGTCAGGATTTCCACTGGTGCCAAGTGAAATTGTATCTATCCTGCATCTAAAACAATGCAGGCTGCATAGGCTAACAAATAATTATACTTTTTACCAAAGAAGGCAAATTTCTGAAAAATCTGGGGGTTGTGCCCCATTATTTCCTTCTATATCTTCTGGAAAGTGCACTTGATTCTCCATGAAACAAATTTTGCTTTCTTCATCAGTGCTCATGCTTGACTAGAAAAGCCATCACTGGCAGGTGTGTGAGCCAGGGTTGTGTGATGATTAGCAGGAGGATAATGAATCAGCCTGGGCTTTACATCTTGGGGTAAATCAGGGGCTCCAGCTGTATGTAAATAAGGTGTTGTTCTGTTTTATAGCATTCTACCAAAACCCTGTGCTTAAGAAAGAAAGAAAGAGATTTTAGTAATCTCCAAAAAGTAGGGATGGGAAAACTTAATGTTGTTTTGCTTTCAACAAAGTCTGAAAACTATTTTCACCAGGTAAGTTTTGCAAAACCCTTTCTTGGTTCAGGATCTTTTTCACTTCTAAATATGGATGCTATGTAAAGCTTTTTTAATATGGTAAGAAAGCTAGACTTCATAAGGGAATAGTATAAAAACAAACCCAAATCAAACCTTTATATTCTCATAAAAGCTAGATTAAATTAAAGCTTCAAAAGTTTCTAGTTCTGCTCAGAAATTCTGATTTTTATTTACATTGCCTTTTTTGTCACCTTGGAAACGTGTTCTGTGCAGAGTAGCTCAGTGGAAATGTGGGTCCCAATTGCAGTTCTTAAATTTCTCCTTGGCGAAACATCTCCCAGAACTTGAAGATGTATAGGGAAACTTTACCTATGAGTATTTCAGTCTTTAACTTTGATGTTTACATTTGTTAACAAAAGGGAAAAAATGACCTTGAAATGTACACGTACATCTTGTTCCTTCCTGTAATATAACAAAAACCTTTCCCCATAAGGCAACAAACAGCACTACATGAGCAATCCAGGCTTTCCTTGCTGATGCTGAAGTATTAGGTCTTTCCTGAGACACTGATGCAAGAGAATAGAGAGAGACACATATTTCTGCAAAGCAATAATTCAGCCCAGAATTTTAATATAAAGAACACCAAGGCAGTATCCTGTTATCTGAATTTTAATGACTGTATCTTTTTTATCCTGTCAGTTGTAGCAAGGATGTGAGAGGTTTCATGAAACATTAATGGCTCTAACTGCAGTCCTCTCCATTTCCTTTTTTCTCTCTTTTTTTGTTCTCCTGATGTGATGTAAAATATGAATTTGTGCAGTGGAACTGCTTTCTGCAGAGGGCTCTATTGCTTGCTTGATCTTGCAGCAGTGACTGTCGTTCCTGTTTGGGCTGGGAGCTTCTACACTGGCTGCCTAAGGAGAGGGAAAGGGCTGGAGGTGCATGGAGAGGAAGATCTTGCTGATGACAGATCATAAACAATTTGAAGTACAGTCTGTATTTTAGGGACATTCAGATAAAGAGCCAGCTGGATGTTCTGCCTCAGTCTCATCTGTAGACTGCTGGTTGCTGGCTGGATGAGCTGTTCAAAAGGCAAAAAGCCACAGGGAATGTCAGATCCTCTGCCCTCCTCAGTCCCCAAGAAACAGGACTGAGAAGGGGGTAAAAGGGGACTAAACCCAAACAGTTTTCAAGGCTCATTGGGTGCAAGGGCACACCAGAGGAGGTGGAAATTATTGTACATGCCAGGCACTGCAGCTGGGCAAAGCCCTGAAGGATAATGAATTCCTCCAACAGCCAGTCCCTCCAACCTAAAACCTGTGTAAGGAGTTGTCATTTGACTGAGTGCTCTCACATTATAACTGCCAGAGGAGCAGGAAAATACAGAGTTCCCAAGCCTAGTGAAGAGCCCTAGAGGCAAACAAGCATAGCTGCACAGAGGCCAGGTGTGTTTGGGATCTGTTGTAGGCACAGAGTTTGTGGTGATTGGGACGGGGCTGGGCTGAGCCTCATCCCCAATGGGGCTCAGCTGTGAGGAGCAGGTGAACAGCATTGGATTAATGATCCATGGAGTGCTGAGGTGTGCTGACCAACCACCAAAGGGAACACAGGGCACACAGGTGCACTGCATCAGCATGAGGCTATAAAAGCTGGGCTAAAGAACAACAAAGAGCTGCAGATGCTTGAAGCCTTCTTTGGTGTTGGTTGTGCTCCACCGTCGTCCCACAGGAATCTGGTATGTGAGGGCTTGCAAAAGGAAATTCAGCACTCTGATCCACAAGGTGCATAATAGGAAATGTTCCTATTTATTCAGAGCAATCCTGTTACAGACATAGATATACTTTGTGTGATGCCATATATAGTGACTAGAACATCTTAATAAGCCCTGCTGGGCTTATTTTCATTCTAAGAGAGTATGATACTGATGTGTTCAGTGACAGGGTGTCACCATGCCACTGTGATGTGTGTGTGTCGTGCTGCCTGCCATTCCTTGGGACTGGGATATTTGTTAGCAAATGTTCTGCCCTCCATGAGCATCATCCTGAGAAACAAACCCACAAGGCTTTGGGGAGCAGAGACATCAACATGTGCTCTCCTTACCTCCCTGTTCCTTAGGCAGCTCTCAGAGTTGGGAATAGCCTGACCGCCAACAGTTTCCCTCTTGTTCTTTCTGAAGAAATGTCTGGGTTTTTTTTTAGATGGCAAAAATATGGCATACTCTTCCAGAAGCTGGAGAGCAGTTTTCTTCACTCTGTTGGAGTTGGTGTCTGTCTGGAGGAGCTGGATGAGTTGGGGATATCAGGGATATGCTGAGTGAGGCTGAGACCTTCTACCGTAAGTACATTTTAATTAAAGCAGATGTTTATGTGGAAAGGTGAACAGACGTCAGCTGCTTTGTTTTTCAATAAGTGTTCTTTCAGTTTTCTGTGATTTTCTGCTCTGGGAGCTGAGAGGAAGGTTGGAAAGGTGCACTGGGTGTATCATGGCCTGTGTGCATCAGGTGTATGATGGCCTGTGAGAAGTAGCTTGGGATTTTGTACAGTAAATAAAGTAATATTTAGTAAGAGCACTGGTCTTTTAGCACTGAGTTTTGGTAGCATGGCCACCCTGAACAGCTGGAGAAGAAAATGGTGTGGCAGTGTAGTGTGCTGTTTGGCCATGGACCAGTGGAGTCTGCTGCTGTCCACAGAGGCAAACTGATAAATCAGGTGTTAACAGGACTGATGCATATTTAGACTTCATCTATTAGAATGATCTATTTTGAAATAAGCTTGGAAATGAGTAATCAAGTACATTCTCTGTGGAACAGTCTTGACTGCTAGTACACTGCAGGGCTTTGATAAAAAGAACTGCAGAAAAAGTAAGGCCCAAAGAAAGTTGATTTGAAACAAAATTCAGTTCCCTCTGACTATGCTAATTAAGGGAGCTTACACATTTCACCATGATTAACTGAGAGGCTGTGGTAGAGCTCAACATACGTGGGAGTTCATTTAGTTGTCTGTAGTTCTACCTTTTTATTTAACAAATGCTTCTTGATTTAAATGGAAATCTCTAATTGCAAAATGATCCCTGATGCAGCATGTCACAACAAATACATACATTCTCTTACAAAAAGAAAACTTTGTCTGTTTATATTATTTTCATTGTTGTCCCAGGCTTTCTTAATTCTTCCACTTTCCTTCATTTAGCATAAAGTTCACAGTATGTCTGCTTGAAATAACAACAACAAAATGGAATGTCTATTATCAATGAATCAGTGGCATTTACAAGTGGGATTTAAACAAATCTGTTGTAATAATTGTGGATGGTTTGTTTGAAATCTGTTTTATTCCTGTTAGAACCAGGAAATGTTTTGATGGAAAACAAGAAAGGTGACATTTTGTGCCAGTTGACATCAATGAGCTTCCCTGGGCTCTAGAGAGATTTTCCTTATTGCAAACTCATGGCCAACATTAGGAGATTAAGGCTTTATATGACAGGCAGTTAATAGAAGGATGTTTGTGGGAGGAATGTCTGTTTTTTTTCTAGAGTAGAGGGATAATATGAAGTAAAGGAAGAGTAAACAGAAAAATCCAGATAAAAGGAAGGGGAAAATCCTCAGAAATGGGGTAGGCCAGTCTGAGGACTCCCATGCCCTGCTGTTGGAGGAGGAGACTGGATTGGGATGCAGGTTAATGAGCAGTAGAGGCATCCTGTGCCTGGCTTGGTCTGTCCCCCAGTGCAGCAGCAAAAATCCCTCCCTCCACAATTAATCTGGATTCACTGGAATTTCACGCACAGGGGAAATGCTTCTGTTGCTGTAATATTCTTTGGAAAAACAGGAAGTACTTGTAATGGAAAATGTGCAATATGAGTGATAAAGAGGGTCACCGAGGTTCAGTCCTGCAGAAAAATGACCTTCATTTGTTTTCTATGTGTGAAGCAGGAGGGAGATAATATTTCCCCTGTGTCAAAGCTGATTTTTCTAGAACTAATGTGAAAACCCCAAAGCTGGGGAAACACATTAAAAGGAAGGGCATGACAGCCAAAGAATAGAACAGAGACTGAGACAATACTTCCTGTCCCATTTATTAGATGCTATTTATAGTTTCAGCTAAGAATATACATGCAAGGACTGATCATATATAGAAAATCACAGCACACTAAAAAAAAAGTTTTCTGATTCTATTTAGGACTTTATTAATAACTGGCAGCTTTAATACAATATACATTAATTACACGTAGAGCTACATTTGCATAAGACCACAGCTGCCATTTAAAGCAAAAACACTCAAATGTTTGGTAGATCTAAGCATTTTATTTGGAATTCAGAAAATGTGCCTGTTAGAAGATTTAAGTAGACCATGAAATAAGACAATTTCCCTGCTGTTTTTGCCTATGTAATTAATTCAGCACAGATGATGAGGAGATATCAAGTACCAAAGGAGTTATGCTCTTCTTGCCCTGTGGTCTCTGGGCAGACTGTTTTCTCCACTTGGCATTAAATTCACTGCAAAAGTACTAATCAAAGTAGTATGTTCAACTGTTGCAGGGCATTTTTGGGGTTTCTATTTCCTTGTTTTTTGGGTTTTTTTTTTCATTTTTTTTCCTTCTGCCAAATATCAAGTTCTCAAACAGGAAAATAATGACATATGTATATATAATTTATCTTTCATAATGATGAAAATTTCTTTGTCATTACTGCATAAACCTGTGAATTAATGTCCTGCCAAGATGTGTAATATTTTAAATAATAGGTGGGTGTGGAGGCAGGAGGTGTCATTTGCCTCAGGACAGACAGACAGAGCAGAGCTCCAGGTCTGCCCACTATGAGCCATTCTCAAGCTCATTTTAGGTGCTGTGGGGTGCCACATCCTGCATCTGTCACACTGCTCTGCAGCACTGCCAATGAATCCTGCACATGAGGCAGGGCTTTGCTTCCAGCATCATTGCCATCACTTTATGTGGCGGAGCTCCTGCTCCTTCCTGAGTTAGAGTGCTGAAATGTTGACTTGTCAGAAATTCCTGGCATGTGAATAAGTGCAAGAGTAGCAAGAAGAACAGCAAGTGTTGAATCCATTGGCTGTTTCCAACTCAGCTGCTGAGTGTGCAATGCTGTTTTTTCTGACATACTGCTGTCTTGCATTGTAATTTTTGTATTTTTCTTTTCCTTGCACTGAGGACAAGTGATTGTGCTTATGGGCCTGTGTGTAACTGGAGCGCTGTTCACCAGTGCACAGAGCAGTGTTCCCAGGGATTCTGAGCTGAGCCTTTGGTTTCAGGCAGGTTTGGAGTGTGTTTGGGGATTTATCATCTTCTCACAGCTACTGTTCTCTGTAACAAATTTTTAACTGCTTGCCCTTAAGTGTTTCCATTGCTGGAGATCCAATTTCCAGAAAGTCAGCTGTCCATTAAATACAGTTGCACAGTTTTTTGGTCTCATATCACTTGTTCAATTTCCATTGAGAAAACTGACTTGAGCTGAGTTGCTCCAGGTATAAATCAGTGTGATAGAAGGCAGAATTTGTCCCTTTTGTTTTCAGCCAATTTGTGTGCTTCCAATGTCTGGAATACAATAATATTTCCTCTTTCTGACTTGTTTGATGCTCACCAGAATCCCCTGAAATCTATGACAGAGATGAAATTATCTGCCTTACTCGCTGCCTAAGTGATGTAATGCCACACATTTAAATACTTGTACTGCTGTCCAGCTTGCTATTTCAACAATTTGCTGTTTAAATACTCCTTCTGCAGGTGAAATACCAGTAAAAAGACACATGTAGGAATTGGTGCTTTCTTCAAAGACTGAACACCTTTGCTCTTGTTTGTCTCTTGCCTTTCATTTTTGCTTTCTAAAGCACAACTTGTCCAACATGCCTATCTCCTATCAACCTGAAAATCAAACTATCAAATGTCAGCTTTCTTTGGAGTCAGCTGGTAGAAACTGGTCTAATAGGCTGGAACTGGGAAAAGATGGTGCTTGGTGGCCTGGGCATGTGCACTGTATTCCTTTGCACTAATCCAAATGGAATGGGATGAGTTTCAGAGCTCCTGAAAGTGAGATATGATTTAGGTCCCAAGTAAAATGTGCTCTGGGTGTGTCCCACATCAGAAGGTGGAATATTCCACGCTCCACTCCCTGGGGCTGCCTGACACTGCAGACAGGCAGCAGTTGTATGTCTGAATCTATGCCAGGAGTAGGATAACTGCAAGGAGAGAAGAGATCAGCCCCAGTTAATCCCTGGTCCTGAAGCAGCAGCTCTTACTTTCCTAAAGTGAAAATTGACTGTGCATAAGGCATAATCTCTGCGTTAAGGGTGGTATTTATGTTGAACATAAGTGATGATAAGCCTTGTGGATGTGTGGCAGAGTGCCAGGGTGACACCAGCCTGTTCTTGCTGCAGGAATCAGGAGGGTTGGCAGACACAGGGCAGATATTTGCTCTTGTCGTGTACACAAGAGCCACCCAATGTTGTTCCACATGTTCTCACTCACTAATGCCTATCCTACAGTGAATGGAAATGACTCTGCCTTTTTAACCAGGAAACCAGGGATGCAAACATAACCCCTGACAAACCAAGCAAACAAAAATGAAAACCCTGATGGGAATCAGTGTAATAATGCAACTTGGTCAGTTAATGAAACCACGCAGATTCCTGGGTTTGCCTATTGCTCACCCACCTTTCACAGATGTTTACAGCAGGAAAAATTCCTTGAGCTGGGTTCAGACTAGGGTTTATGTTCCCCCACCCTATGAATTTTCTCATTTCAGAGAAAGTTATTGGAAAAGATCAGATATATTTAAATTCCTTTTTTACCAAAGGTTTTGGGGTGCAGGAAAATAAACTGTAACCACTTCTGTCTGCATCTTTCTTATTTCAGTCATTTACGCAGCTATTCTTAGTTTTAAGCAGATGAAGCTTTCCTGTTTTCCATAGTTGCATAATTAATCTGTAAGAACTTTGACATTTCAAAGAATGTGCTGTTCCTAGCCTTTGTTGGTATCTGCATGTTTCTCTAGATTTCTGGCCTGATATTTACACTTAATGAATGAACATGAACTCAGACTCTTGAGGTCTGATCAGATTTTTTGTGACTGAGCCACAGAGGATAAATTTTAGGTGTTGTTTCCTTTATTAATATCTAGTCTGCTCTGAGCTGCAGCAGTGCAGAATTTGCTGGATCCCTTGGAAGTTATAAACAGTTCAGGATTTGGGCCTCTTGGCTGCAATAGTGAGCAGGAAAATTTTCCATTCTTCTATTGTGTGCCATGCTTCAATCTGATGTAAATTTTGTTACAGGACAAAACTTTGTAGCCTTGTGAGGACCGTGGGTGAAAGAACAATGAGAAAAAG